GACAAAATGCTGAAACTGCAGTGGCTTTTTCCTGCATGCCAGAGACTTCTCCTGCTGACTGAACAGTCTGATCTCTATACAAGCGCCCTGACACGCCTCCACTAAAACAGGTGTTTAATTAAGCAAGTGAAGACTGTCGTGTCATACAGCTGGATGAGCCGCACAATACTTTATTCTCTAGATGTTAGCCCATGGAGAAAATAGATGAGAATAGCTATAACTTCTTGCGGCGTGCTTAGTTGCAACTGTTTTCTATTTGTGCACAGCATGACAAATTGAGCAATTTTGTACGCAGTCTAAACCCAAAGAGCAATCTGATGTGGGACCAAATTGGCATTTACAGTAATTTAGTAAAAAAATAAAAAATAAAGTTGAAAAAGAGGAGACATGAAGGACCTCTCTCTTTGTCTCCCTGCTCTCTCCTCCCATTATGGAGGCAGCAGCTGGGGAGGAAAGACTCTAAACTTCTCTACTTAGCACCAGCACCGTCACAGGGTAGTGATCTGAGAATCTCTTTTAAATGGCTGTCTGTCTCTGTGTGTGTGTGTGTGTGTGTGTGTGTGTGTGTGTGTGTGTGTGTGTAAGCCCAGGCTCTCTTTTCCTGCCTTTTTGCACATGCTTGTATGTCTCTGCATGGGTGCATTTCATTGTGTGTATCTTCGTCTCCGTGGCTGTAATTGTTTATCCCCTAAAAGCTCTTCTACTTTCGTGCTGACATGTATTTTCCAGCAGTGTGTATCACGCTAAATAAACAACACTCTGAACACCTCATTTGCATGGACGTGTGAGGTCACCCCCTCTTTGTTTGAATGACAGGTGGTTAGCCGGCATGTTTCTGAAGGGGACCCCAGTTGCTGCACTGTGCACTCCCGTGTATCTTCTATTATTACAGCTGGAAAAAAACAGTAGTGATGAATAATTGAATCAAAACGTCTGGAAACTTAAAATAAACTGCAAATAATCACCTTAAAAGTGCAAATGTGCATGTGATTTTGATCCTTTAACATTATTGTACATTACGGAAATAATGTAATGAAGCTAAACTGTATATGCTTGAAAACTATAATTCTAATTTTTAACATTCAGGTATTGTAGGATGATCATTTACTGTGCTATTAGATTTATTCAACCAATAATGCAGATCTTTTACTTAATTAAAAGCAGAAAGCCGCAATTTTTTATATATTTTTTAAAATATCAACCCCTTTAAAAATGTTATAATATTATATATATGATTATTTTATTATCAATGATCACTATAAGCAACATTTTAATGTTGTAGCTGCTCACAGTTGAGCTATAACTACTTTAATGCAATGCATATGTAAAACGTTAGTCTGCAAAGTAAATTATAGTTGTAAAGTAAACCTAATGGGGTAAAAGGTTCAATATTTGTCAATGAGATGTCGTGAAATTAAAGTATAAAGTGGCAGAAAATGGAAATACATGTGAAACATGTGTGAAATGCATTTTTTAGAGCAGCTATCAAGGATGTGGAATAATGATCAGGGGGCCAAAACAGCACAACATCAGTGCAGTGTGTGGAGTCTAAAAGGTCACCATGCACCGGCAACTTTCTGAGGCGATGCAAATAGGCTGCATTTTTAGCAGAAGGCATGGGGAGAGTGTGGAGTGCAGTGTGTGTGTGTGTGTGTGTGTGTCTGATACAACACCCCATCTTCAGCATGTCCAGACTCTTTGATCTAATTTGCTGCAGCTGCATTCGTTGCCTCCATCGGTGTAACTTTGCTAAAAAATAAAAAATCTTATTGAATTCTAACATTAGGGGTTTGCAGTGGTGCAGAATTACACACCAGTGCAATCTTTGCTGCAGTTTCCGGATATTATATAACATCATTGTTCTCGGTTGAGGCTGATAATGCTGCCATTTGTGCATGTGTGCTACTTGCTCTGAATCCAACTCTCACCCCTTTAAACAGCAGAGATTTCCAGTGTGTATTCTCCTTTTATTGCTTTCATTTGCATATAAATTAAATCCATATTGTGCCTGCGAGGCAGACTATGCTAACTATGCAAACGATCCCTGGCTTTTCTTTGTTTTACAGATAAACCCTCGGCTTCCTCTAAATGACGAGGTGGGAGGGGGGCGAGAGAAATCCTCTCGCTGTTTCATAATTGTATGAATTTTAAATACACTGTCATAAGACCCTCTTCCGCATTCACAGCAGGGAATGAAACTATCATTATAATATTAGAGCTACAGGGTTAGCTGACCGTGAAGAGCCAGGCAGCCTCTTCACCTCTGCTCACACATGCAGGCCAGATGGCCAAAGACTGGCTGTAGAAACAATAGACCTGTGTGTGTTTTCTAAACAGACTTCCTAAAAAACACCATGCATTTAAAGTATTTTAAAGCATCTTTAGCTTTTACAGCTACTTTTAGGTGTAGAGTTTAAACTATTATTTTCTGATGTATAGGCAAAAAAAAACCAACAACACACACACACACACACACACACACACATTAGCTCCTCAAACATTTGATAACATTTGGATTTAAATTAGATTTTGTGTCGTCAAACTGAAATCAAATCTTATGAATATTCATTCATATATTTAAGTGTAGAGTGACACTAAATTAGTGCTAATTTTACAGTGGGTCCTCTGGAAACCCCTTCAAGGACCCCTGGAGGTTTCCACTGCTGCAAGGGAAGCCTTTTAAAAGACGGTTACCTGCGCCAAAGCTCTGCTGCTGCTGTCTACAATTGAAGAAAAGAAAGAAAATAATCTGTGTATGAAGTATTTTGAAATTTAAAATTACAATTATCTTTTTAAACCCACTTTTCTTCCCCTTTTGCCACTTTTCCTTCACATTTCTATTCGATTTAATTCAAATTTGCAGCCATAAACAGGCGCAGTAATTTCTGCTGATTGCACACACACACACACTCTGAAGTGTGTATAGTGTTCATAAATAAATAACGTCATTGTTTAAAGATAAGATATTAATTAAAATCTGAAACCTGCGGAATAACCTAACAGCGAGCCCCTGGTCGTCATTATTGAAATCAATTATTAACACGCTATGTACTGTGCGCTTATTAAATCTCTGCTCTATAGGCAGAGCTGAACACGAACGCAGCAGCAGCAGCAGCAGCAGCTCTTGAAATAATTAAAAAGAAACGCGGAGGCCGTGAACGCCTCCGCTGCAGACCTCTGCAGGCTTGTTAGCTCTTAATTAAATAATCCGATCCGCGATCAGTTGTATATAAGCGACGTAACAAACAGAAATAATATAAATCACGCCTGGTCAGTGCTCGTGCGTGTGACGACTTTGATCACACAAACATGGCGCCGCTCCGAGCGTGCTCCGTAAGTCATTCACTTTTTTTCATGAAATAAACAATAAAATCAAGGTGTGCTCTCCCCTCCAGCGAATTTACATGTTTAAGATTATTTTATTTTTTTTATTTTTATTATAATGGGAAATAAATCTGCAGGAATATTAGGCGTTTTGGAAAGAAAAACCTTGACCTCACAAGCCTCACACTGCAGCACAGGACTTGTGAGGAAGGATATTTGCAATAGGAGGATGGGTCAGGACTTTATATTTTAATGCCTTTTTTGGTTTAAAAACTAAATATTGATCAGAATCAATGCACATAACATGGAGCTTAATTGGCTGATAGGAGTGAAAGTATATGGGGCAAATGTTAACTGCAAATCCATCCCCAGCAATAAAAACATGAACACAAGAAAGAAAGAAAAGGGAAGGAAAAGATGCCTAAGTAAAGTCTTAACATGGGTGTTACTTTCTTTATCTTTTTGTGTTACTAACATAGTGTTGAACATATTTTCATGAAAGGAATAATCATCCAGTTTCCCCTATAAAAGATCCCTCAGCTCATTAACATAAATTTGATACTTCTAATATCATATCCCTGTAATCCCTGTGCATTAAGGAAGTATGGTAAAAATAGGTTAGGGTTATTTTTTTCACACCAATAAAAAGTTTTCATACCTATAAAATTAAAGTTATGATAGTGAACCCCCCCCCCCCCCCAAACTGCTGAAAAGAAAAAAACAACAACATAACTTGTTGAAAGAATCAACAATGTAATGTCATGAAAACAGCTTTCACATAGACAAAAATACTCCTGCAGAGCCCCTTAGGTTTGTCTGCTCTCGCTGACCTTGGAGTACACACACACACACACACACACACACACACACACACGCCATGTCACAGAGTTCACAGCCAGGCTCTATCAAACCTGAACCTGAGGTCACGTCAGGCCAAACACGCCAATAGAATCTCACGTAGGAAAAGAAGTGTTTCTCCCTAAAGCAGAGGACTGAGGGGACCCTGTTCACTGCACACTCCTCTGTACCTGTATTCATTTCACCGAAAGTCCAGTGGGTGAAAGTTTAGCAGAGACGTGAAATCTTGTAAACGCCCAGAAAAGATTCACAGGTGAAACATTATCCATAACGGAGAAACAAGCAGTGTCTGATTATAGTGAAAGATGAGCTGCGAAATAGTAACTGTGGGAAGCTTCTTGTGTGTGTGTGTGTGTGTGTGTGTGTGTGTGTGTGTGTGTGTGTCTGTGTGGGTGTGTGTGTGTGTTACATTTCTGTATATCCCCCACATCTCTCAAATATCAAATTAAAATAAAAGTAAATAATCCTTATAGGTATAACTATATGGTCTGAAAGAATTTAAAAGCCTGTTGTTAATCACGGTTTGCTCCTTTAAATGTGCTGTGAATTTTATGTCCCCAGTCTAATTATTTTACAACCTTGTTTTATCTTCACAGGCCGTTTAAAATGATGTTGGGAGGTCCAGTTAAAGCCATACTCGTAGTGTAGTTATAATAATAATAATGTATATCTTTTTTATCCTCTAAAATCTCACAACAAAACTCCTTTCAGCGCTTTTAAACTGAATTATAAGTAGAAAGAAATGAAAGAAAGAATAGTTTAGTCCATCAATCTACCGTTCTCCTTTTTTTTTTATTATTTCAGACTACATGTGAACATATTAAAATCTTTGGCTTGTCTGAGTCTGCGACTGATGTGTTGAAGGAAAATATGGCGCAAATATGGGGGACAGGAGACCACAAGAACCTATATAGAGCCAATCCGACAATCTAAAAACAGTGAGAACAGACAGAAACGATGAGGTGGGAGATGAGGCTGAAATTAAATATACTGTATACAACATGATAACTGTGTGGCTATATAAACTTTAATAACGATCGTTCATTTATATAATTATGTCCATATACTGTTACCATAACAGAAATCTGTGTTTTTAAATAGCGTTTTCCCCTCTTCCAGTTCATTTTTTTTTATTTTTTTATTTTTTATTAGCTCCAAAAGTCAAAAGAGTCAGGCAGCGGCCCTCAGCAGGGGAAATGTCCGGGCCTCTTATTCACTGTCCTCCTTTTCCTCCTGCACGGTGGTCGTTGAATGGTTGTAAAGTCCTTGAGCCATGAGCTGCAGGGCCAGGCCGTTCTTGTAGCCGCTGGCCTTTTTAATCTTGGCCCTCTTATTCTGGAACCAGATTTTAATTTGGGACTCGTTCAGGTTGAGTTCCTGGGCCAGAGACTGTCTCCGCTGCTCCGTTATGTACCGGTTGGCCTGGAACTCGGTTTTCAGTCTCTGCAGCTGCTCGGCCGTGAACGCTGTCCTGGGCCGCTTGTCCTCCTTGCTGTTCTTCTTCTTTTTCAGTTTCCGTGTCCTTGGGCCTGGCGTGGAAACAACAATGGAAATAAAATATTTATTCTACGGCTGGACCACGAACACAATGTCACACATGAGGCGCATGAAGTTCCTCTAGTATTCACCATCAAAGCTCCTGCTCATATCCACTGATGAGTGATGATAGCGGCTCATTATCTAGTCAGTGTGATCAAATGTAGGTCACCACACTGCCCTGATGGGATAGATATTCAAACATATCATTTCATTATTTTATGTGTTATCTCCTTCACTCTTCACTATAATGTGTGATATATTAAATATGGACTCCCTGAGGATAAATCACACCAAAAATAAGGCCACACAGAAGGAAAGCCATACCTTGCTCTGTGGGCCTCGTCCCAAACCAGGATTTACAATCAGCATTAAACATGAAGACATACAACCATTCAATATCTTTTACAACACAACAAAATACTACAACGCACTGGTTGTGTGTAAATAGCAACAAGAGATTTTTAAAAAACAGAAACGTGAGAATTAGTTATTTAAATTCAGCGTTTTCTTTTAAATCAGTGTTAGATAAAAAATGTTATAATATACTGACTGAGATTTTTCTCCTCCCCCACATTAAGGCATGGTTATTACTTAATATTCAACCTATATTAACTAATAATTAATTGCAGTGGACCTGCTGAGATCACAGGTAGTGTGTTCATGACTTGTCTTGAATGTAAAATATAACTATGAATCAGAAGAAGAGGTAGTAGGAAGGAAGCAGATCCAGCCCGTCCAACACTGGAGAAATACACAAATAAATAGCAGGCCAAATATTTGTTGTAGCTGTCACAATATGAAAATTGCTGAAAACACTGCTGAAGATGATGGATATATATATAAATACATATTTTAAAAATAAAACCTATGGGTGATTGTAAACCTTAGGATCTGAAGTCGGCCCATCCCGCTGTTCTCATAGTGTTTAGTTGACATAAACAGGTTTGGAGGTTTTTGGAGTCATTAGTTCCAGGCAGGCCTTTGTGTAAAGTTTAATACAGGCCCATGACATCTGACTTGTTATGGCGCCAAAACAAGCAGCAACCCGCTGCCACGGCTCAAATGAAATAAGTTGCTTTTGACAAGAGTCCCACTGCAGACTTCTCAGGTCCACATCATCACAGTTCGCCCTGCAAAAAGCCCCCATATCCTGTGATACAATTAATGGAATCCATCCAGGACTATGATTTCTTAATCATACAAACATGGCTGTAGTGCACAAATCTGGCCAGGGCGCATGCATCAAATAAAGCTCAAGTAGCAAAAATGTGATGGTAGCTTGGTCACACAGCAAAGCGTAGAATTTGTATTTGAGCACACACTGTCATAACACTGCATTCAGGCCAATGAAAGCAGCGCTTTAAGGACACACTAAATCCATTTTGCAGCCAGACTCGAGTGACATAAGATGACAATTTGAGCCAACACTTATACCACATAATTAAAGAGGGACTGGAAAGAATAGTAATAAAGCTAAAATATGAGCCCTGAAGGCTAAGAGAAGCAGAAAGAATTAACATTATGACCGTGGAAACTACAAACCCATTAAAAACAATGATGAAGTGTAGGAGGAAGACACTCAACTGCTATAAACACAACAACATGTTCTCAGACAACATGAATCTGTACGTTTTCAGAATTCAGTTTAATACTGTCTATACATTTATATCCACAACACAGCCTCAGATTAGGACTTCTGTGTTATTATAATTATCCCTTATAAAGAGCACTGTATGTCCTCCTGCAGCTGCTGTATATTACCAGCTCCTGCATTATCCTAACCCACACAAAACACTGAATGCATCATCCCTATCAGATGAGCCAACAAAATCATTCAGGTTAAAAGTCAACAGAATTTGGGCTGAGTAAATGCAAAGGATAAAAATTAGTGGGTTGCTAATATGAGCCTTGGTTTATACGCACTTTAAAATAAACAATGGCTGAGATTCTGAATCCACTCCATCGCCATCTTTATTTTATATAATTTTATAAACCAAGTAAAGGAATTCAACTGCATCTTTTAGTAAGTCTTATTTTGCATAATTTATTTGGGTGTATTAGGTGGAAAAATGAAATAAAGTCCTAAAACAAATTTCTGGGATGATACTTCTTTTCTAACTGAATTCGCGGTGTTAACGATAGTGACGTGTTGTTGCCTTTAAATCTCATATTAACACAACTTTATGCAATTGAATCATAGTTTAATATTCTAATATGTCTTTAGCGATACTCTAAATCTACTAAGCGATTACAGTGTTTTTCTTTTCTGTTATTTCATTTTAAAGCATATGCGAGCCAAACACAGCGGTAGCCTGCTGGTAGCATTGTTATCAACTTGAATTATATATTTTATTTTTATTTTTTTAACATATTCTGTCTTTGCCGACAAAGAGAGAAAAGGTCAAGAGAGGTCTTATTGTTGTCGCCAACGAAAATACGGTTAAATGTGCACAAGCCACGGAGTCCTATAATAACACGTTTATTGGGGAGAAGATTTAAGCATGTTGAGATGAAAATGCACATTGAATTGCACTGATTTTTTTTTATTTTTTAGCTGATATATTGCAGAGGCCTATAACAAATATGAGACACTATAGCCCATAGTGCGTTATGTTTATATATGTGTGTGTGTGTGTGTGAGAGAGAGAGAGAGAGAGAGAGAGAGAGAGAGAGAGAGAGAGAGAGAGAGAGAGAGAGAGAGAGAGAGAGAGAGAGAGAGAGAGAGAGAGAGAGAGAGAGAGAGAGACAGAGAGAGGAGTAATGGAAATTAATTACCTCAGGTGTTTAATGACCTTATCCTTCCCTCCTACACCCTACTTTCATATTCATTATGTTTTTTTATTATTATTATTTCGGTATGTCTGTTTAGTATTTTATTCCAAAATGGCTTTTACTTAATTGGCTCAGTTAAAGTCACAAGCATAAGAGAAAAATTATAGCCTGTATCTATATGCCAAAATTAAATTCACCCTCAAGCGAATAACTTTGAGGTTGATAAAGGTTTTTTGTTTTTTTTTAATCAAGTGTGTCAGACACTGTGAAGGAGTTTAATAATTAAACTGTGGAGAAAGACAAGAGGAGTCAACCCAGGAATGATCCCCAGCGCTCGGGCACCCCAGGCGGGATAATTCGGGGACTATTAGCGCCTTACCAGATGAGGGCCGGTCCGAGTACCGTGTACAGTAAACCCAAGCGGGCCACAACAGCGGCTGGCTTTCTTTCGTTGTGGACGTTGAGCCTCCATTGCTGCCACTCATAATCATTATTGACGAGGGGCTGTCTGCGTATCTGCCAGTCCCGTTGCTCGCCGCTTCGCCTTGTTTCGACGAGTTCTGCTTGGACGAAGGCGACGAGGACGTGGACGACGAGGAAGAGGAAGGCGACGACGAGGTGCTGTCGCTGCTGCAGTTGGAGTCCAGGCAGAGGCTGCCGGTGTGCGCCGGCGGCCTCGCCCCCAGCGGGTTGACGTTCTCTCTGCCCGGCGTCTGGCTCCGGTCGCGGTAGCTCGGCTCCTTTCTGCAGCCGAAGTCCGGCCGGAGGATGTTGTCTATGAAAAAGTTCGTGGTTCTGTGGGCCTGCTGCGCGGCCTGGTGCGGTAAAATCATGGGAGGGGATGGGAGGTTTGGCGACAGAGACATGCTCTCCTCCTCGGTCGAGTCCCGGCCGCTGGTGGGCTCCTTCTGCTCTTCCATAGCTGGTGGCGGTGAGAAATTTCGGCCTCTCCACGCCAAACTCCACTTGTTGCTCGCTCTCCCGCCCCCTTCGGTATCCAATTTAGACAGACAGCATGTAAAAACAAGTCTCTTCGCTAGAATAAATACCTGTGCTCATTTATAATATCACCTACTGCGGCGACATGTCGTCTCCTAATAGCCGTCCGAGACCGGGCATAGCGCGCAGCTCCACGTTATAACCAGTGTCCCTGCCTCTCTCCGGTGCAGCATAATATCTGTGTATCCGCTCTTCCTAAACTCTCCTAAAACCGTTATCTCCCCGCCGTGAGTGTGTGTGTGTGTGTGTGTGTGTGTGTTTTTCTTTCCCCCTCCCTTTACACCCAGCCGGAAGCACGTGTGCGCGTACACACGTGCTGCGGACCAATCGGACGCGGCGATCGTCCCTGTCACAGTTGACGACGGCCAATCGCGGCTCGAGATGCGGCGCCGGCGAGCACGCGCACTCGTAGCCCGCGCGCAGTTCGATCGATTTTTCTGCGAGGCACGTGCATACACATGTACACACAGCAAAACAAAAACAACAGCGGGGCAGCCTCCATTATGAATGTCCGTCAGAACGACACTAAGTATGTTTTTTCATTTTAATACACGTTCTTTAATCACATTTGAGCTTTTAAATATTATTGTTTACTTGTGAAAACGCTTTGACCCGAATGGGGATTCATTTATAAGAAAATAACATCATTAAAATGACTTTTTTTGAGAATTTAAATTTAATTCTAAGCTAATTTAAACCTATAGGCTCATTGTTGGGCATGTGTTTTACCTCCTGTGCATAATATAAAACTCTTTCTCAATGACGCTTTTATATTTTTATCTGGCTAACACCTACTGGATAATTAATTAGCTCAAAATGTACCTATTAATTAGCATAAAACTTGCGCCCTAATTCTCAAAGATAAAAAGTCTTCACATTTTCACATTTTCTTTTCACTTTTTCATATTTTCACTGGCATTTTGTCTCTCCCCTCCTCCTGTGTGAAGCATTTAGGTCAAATGTATAATTTAAACATCCACATTTTGGACAACCCAGCTTTTGGCAGCAGGACAAAAAAAAAAAAAATAGTACATCGCATTCGTATCCGCTAATATGAAAAATAGAAGTGTAAAACATGAAGTTTACAGACACAATGAGGCCTAGAGAGCTGGAGTGAGTCCCGATAATAAATAGCGGTTTTGTAAAAAATCCCCAGAATAAGATTAAAATTGCCCTCAGGCTCTAATTGGCGATTTGAAATAATAACATTAATAGTCATAATAATAATAGCGACAGCATGAAAAGTGTGGACGTGTTGATGTTAACACCGGCGCAGTGAAATCTTTATCCCACAGGCCGGAGTGGGGAAGTCATGGCTACTTAATTAAATTCCAATTAGGACAGTATCAATATGCTGTTTAGCCGCAGAGCCATTGTGGGTAAATGAGCACTCAGTCCGCTCTTATCTGGCGCTGCAAAGAGAGGCTCCTTGAGAGGAGCTGCAAAAGATAATTTATAGCTTTTAATTAGTCTTCATTCCGCCCGATCAGCCCGGTGTTCATCACGGGCAGCTTGCTGAATAAAACCCGAGTCAAAAGCGCTGTCACCGGTCCCTGACAGGGCCCTTAATCAAAGTGAAGCAGAGGCCGCGCTACAAGCCACGTAATTTCCAAGGTGCTGATAAAGCTTGTTGAATAATAGCGGGGGCCCTCGGAGACACCATTTACAGAAATGACTTTATTGACGGCTTAACGTTGGTAATTCATTTTACCTTTCATGTATTGGGAGCCGGATTTGTCGCCGTAATAGGATGATAAATGCACTGACGGATCGCAGACCCGTTTTTATTGAGTAGCCTATATAGTGGAGGTGCTTCAGCGGCAGGGACACACACACACACACACACACACACACACACACACACACACACACACACACACACACATACACAAACGCACGCACACACACATGCACACACACACACAGAGTCATGATGAGCTTCTTGTTGAAAAGCTGATGTTCTGTCTGAGAGTAAAGCCATGACAGCGTGAGTGTGTGTGTGTGTGTGTGTGTGTGTGTGTGTGTGTGTGTGTGTGTGTAACTGCACTGCTTCTACAATACAGAAAAAAGTCTTTGTTTCCACCTTTATTTTAAGGCCACATAGTAGATTGTTTTACTTCCTGTTTGTGGGATTAAATGAAACACACCAAAGGAAGGCAAAATAGCTGTACAAGCGTTAATCTGTACTCTACATTTGCCTCCTTTTTATTGTCCTTATCTTTCGTCCGTCTCAGATGTTGTTCTTGTTCTTTGCCTCATTCTGGTTTGTTTTCTATAGAGTCCAAATTACAGGCTTCAAAAATAAGCTGAAGCCTGTTTGAGGCCCTGTTCAAAGCAGCCAACATTGTAACACCATGCAAACTGTTTGCTTCCAATTATCTCTGGGGGTGAATTTAATTACCTCCCTGTAGCCTATTATTGTTTTTCCTATGGCTATAAATACTTAAAGAGTGTGTTTGATATTTCTAAACAAATAGCCTACATTTAAAGTTACTATTTCTTCACTAAGGAATAAAATAGTTGAGTCTTCAGTTATAAATAAGATAATATAATATGTAATAATATAATAAAACACATTTGGCTTATACTCCTTATAAAAGCCTGTACCAGTGGTGGAAATGAGAAGACGTGATGTATAGATTTAAAAACGGGCCGCATGAGCTTTACTGTGAAAAAATACTCAAGGAATAAGTTCAGGAATTTACAAAAGGACGAAACAACAAAGAAGTTCATTGTTTGAATCAGAATTACCAAAATAGTTCAGTCTATTTTTAATTTATAAATATATTAAAATACAAACAGCTGCCGCTTCATCATATCCAGACACTGTTATAGAAAATATTTTTAAATTTTTTCTCCTCAAATACGAGTGCACAAATGATCAAAGTTGATTTTTCTCTCCCCCCCCACACCCCGAAAGGCTGCATTTATAATAAAAATGCATTTATCAAAAATGACAATTAAGCTCTGCAACTTCTTTCATGGCCACTAAATCTAATTCAGTCATTGGCTCATATCCACTCCTGGCTTGAAAATAAAAAAATACCTCTCTGTGTTGTGAAGGAGAAAGTTTTTCATCTTTATTTATTTATTTATGTTTTGATTTTTTGATTTTATTTGATTTTATTTTTTTTAAATATATTCTTCACATTCAGGAAAGTTGTGAAGCTTTTGCTGGACTCTGTCTCCAAGTGCTGCAGCTGCATGCCTGAGCTTTTAACCTAGTGAAGGCAGATGAGAAATAGTCTGTGACATTGTGTTATTCTCTCCATCTACCCAGGTTTCTGCATAAATTCATGCTCATTCAGGTTAAAGAGCAAAGTGGGTCTGATCACATCCTGTCTGTAGTTCAACATCTTATAGGACGCTGTGCAAAGGTTCTGTGTTAATGACTTTTAATGTGCTCCCAACAAAGTAAAGATCAGTGTGATTTAATAAGAGTGTGTTCAGTTAAAGCTTACACAAGCAGCCGATGTAATAACTTTATAGGGCAGAAGTTTAACACTCACCTCACACAAAACTGTAATTAAATGAGATGCTGAAAGTGTATCTAGGAGATTCTTGGCATGAAACAGTGTGGGAACCTTTGGGCTCAAGCATCCACATCTGGAAACCTCCGAGTTAAAACCAACTATGTAACTCTGGCGACATCTAGTGGCTCAGATGTGTAAGTGGTGTTTGCTTGTCGCTTCAGACGCTTCACATGGCAAGCGGCATAACTTTGAACAAACCAAGCAGCCTGCTTTATATGCTAATATATGCTCTCTTAATTCAAAACATTTAAAAGTCTCCACATCAAAGTGATTTTCCCCAGAAGAATAACTGCCTGCATATAAAAGAAATACTCTTCTACATTGGTGGAAAATAACTCACTAAACTTTAACTTAACGCCTCTTTATCCTTCTACTCCAATATAATTCAGAGGCAGATATTGTGCTATTTATTACATTTATTTGACAACTATAGATTAAACTACTTTTTGCTAATTACAGCTACTTAAGTGACATTTTCAATGAAGGACATTTACCTACAATTTCTACTTTGTGGTTTTGCTCCTTTGGATCTGAGTAATTTGACTCTAAACAAGAAAGAAAAGAAATACAAGGTCAACACAAAATCTAATTTCTCCTACTGTACATTAAGATAGGAAGACTTTTTACTGAAAATATATCCAGGCAGCCTATTTCATTATATGAGTACATATATTTATATGGGACTGACCCAGGAAGAATATTCTTGTAATTCAAAGACAACATATCTTAGAATAATATTCATTTGATGTTTTACCTACAGCATATACATATAAATTGATTTTTCATAATATTCATTTTGTGATGATTACACTGTTTCTTTTCAAAAACAATTGTACAACTACACATCAGGATTTTTATATACCGTACCTGTTTAAGGTTTCCATGGTACCAGCTCTTTTCAATAAGTCAATAAATGCATCCTTGCAGTACTCTGCGTGTCCACTAGATGTCAGAGTAAAACAGCGGAAGAAAACAATAAGGGAGAGACAAAAACAAGGGTTACAAAAAACAAAACAGGAGCATTTATCAGTGAAGATTAGTGGCATGTAAACAAGATGGATGGGCTCCGTCCACACTTGCTCTTTTAGAATATATCTCTTCCCTCATAAAAGCCATCAAAGCCAATAAAAGCAAATACAAAGGCTTTATTTAAAAAGAAATAAAAAAAGTTATGTTAGTTTTAAAAATGTCAGTTGTAAAATATCTCAACTTGTCTGAGACACAAACTGCAGCAGTGAGGCTGTAAAACCAGTTCCCAAACATCAAGACAAAAGCATACAGTTACATTATGTTCATGGTCATTTGCTGATTTTAAAATCTGATTTGATGATAAAAACTATTAATGCAAACGCCCGATTGTCACCAGCCTCAAACCGGTGAATGAATCCACTGTTTTCCACTTTTTCCACAAGTGTCACATTTCAGTGGCTCTGTGGTGGTGCGAGACAAATCTTAAAGAGATGTCACAAACAGGGATGAATTAACAATTTCGGTCCCCATCACCGTCTGCCACACGAGCCCCTTCTAATATTGAAATGCCAGCAATGTACAGAGGACATGTTTGCATACTAAAGGATGATTATTATTCACTGAGTTTCCCTCTCTCTCTCTCTCTCTCTTTCTTTCTCTCCGTCTGTCTCTCTTTCCAAGGTCCAGGCTCTCCCCAGTAAT